GTTGTGGAAAAAAATTATAAATGGGATGAGAGCTTTATTAGCTTCTCATTGTTAGGTTTCCGTATTATTTAGCTTGTCTTTACATTAGATTTTAACCTGTGACCCTTCCTTACTTTGATGTGTGATTATTGACGACCACATTCCTTCTTACATGCAAATCTTTGTTCACTTGACTGCCTGCTGAAAAATAATTTTTCCCGTTGTCCTTAAATATTTTTAGTCTAGATTGAAGTGTTCCTTTATCGTGCCACTCTCCTAGACTGAATTGGTACCACAGATGGTTCAGCTCACTTAGAAACTGGTAGTCATGCTTTCTGAACTGTATTTGGAACTTTCTGTTAGTTATTTAACGTTTGTTTGTTATATCTCCAGTGGAATGCTTGTCCAAGATCCTTCAAAGGGCAATGATGTGGATGCAATTTTCAATCAAGCCAGGCAACTGGGAGCTATAGAAAGGCCTCTTGATCAACTCCAGGATCCACCAAGGTCAACAAGCTTTACTGGAACTGCAAGATTACTCTCAGGAGAAACTGTGCAATCAACTTCTCAACAACCTGAGTCTTTTGTTCACAACATTGTTTTTTGGAGTGATGGCTTCACTGTAAATGATGGACCTTTGAGGAGGTTGGATGATCCTGAGAATGCCTCATTCTTAGAGGTATACTGCTTTTATTCACAATGTTGGGAGCTTCGCAGTTGCGTGCAGCCCAAATACAGAATTCATCAGTATTTGAAGATTGTGATTTTTTTTTCTATTTATGATTCACAGAATGACATAATAATGAAATATTCCTGGAATTTTTGTTTTTATCTCCACTTACTGAAAACCTCAGAATGAAAATTCCCTACACTGAAAACCATATGGTAGCCACTAGGGAACTGTATTCCAAGCATATAGTTCGGAGTGCTCTGAAAGCTGTTCTTGAAATGAGCCATGAGACTGTTGAATAATTTTTTCAATATCTTTCTGGAATCTGGAGTACTATTTTCTTCTTGGTTACACTGGTCGATTTGTTGTTAATGATTAATAATTATGTTTACTCTGTTTGAATGCAGAGTATCAAAAAGTCTGAGTGTCCAAAAGAGCTTGAACCTGCAGACAGGAGATCATCAGTCAATGTTAATCTCATAAGGAGGACTGAAAAATATCCGGTTAGTTTTCTGTTAGTGTTGTCCCCCTCTAATTTGATATGAAATCAGCGTGAAACTGGTTTGCTTTTCTCTGTTCCGCTTTTGAATATTCCAGTTTTTTTTTCGTTTTAAATTACTGCCCTGACCTGGAAGCTGAAATCTGAGGATCCGTTGAATAAATTGGATGTGAATTTTTGTTATATTTGTAGGAACCCGAAAAGCGCCATCTTCCATTCCAGGGAGTAGGTAGAACTGTAGGAAGCAGCTCTACTTCAGCAGCACCCGAAACAACTGTTGCTTCAGGTTCTGGTCCGTCTAACGCTCCTAGCCCTTCTGCAGGACTGGTTGTGGATCAGTCTTTGCGGTCAACCTCAGTACAGATTAGGCTAGCTGATGGAACCCGCTTGATATCTCATTTTAATTATCATCACACAATCAGCGATATCCGTGCATTTATTAATGCGTCTAGACCTGGGGGTGCATTGAATTACCAACTTCAGGTGATGGGGTTTCCTCCAAAGCTTCTGACTGATGAAACTCGGACCATAGAGCAGGAAGGACTGGCAAATTCGGTGGTCCTCCAGAAATTCTGATAAACTGCATAAAACCTGCTGCTTCCTGGACATTACTGGTTTAATGGTGGTCTTTATAAATTGAACTTATTTTCTCTGCATCAAACTTGACAGGGTTTAAAGACAGTTTCTTCGAGGGCTTTTTGCTTTTGACGACCTAATTGTTGTTATTCAAGTTTTATCGTGTATTTTTCTTGATTTAGGATCCAGTTGGATTGAAGCTTTGAACCTAATGCCTGTGTCTTTCTGCTAGTATAAGTCTATGAGAGGTGGTTTTATTTATCACTGTTTGACTCTTGTTTCACTTGTCCAAATGTAGAAAGTGCCATGTCTATTGAACTTTGCAAATGTTGATATTTAATCTTCTACAAAATCAAGTAAGCCTTAAGATATTGGGTATTACAATGTTTGGCTTTGCAAGCTTACCCATGGTGCAAGGGGATGATGTCGTACGGTGGTTTTCCAAATACTTGAAATTTTATTTACCAGATAACTTACGGTTAACTTATGCCAAAAGATTAGCTTGAAATTGGTTGAAACTTGTTACGTCAATATAAATGTTAATCATAAATCATCAAAGAGAAGTTAATGGGGCCACTTAATCTAAGGGAAAATCATTGATATGGATTTTCTTTGGTAGATGCATGTATTACATCTGAATAAAGATGAAAAGATTTCGCCAAAAAAAAACGAGAAAGAAAGAGTATAATATAAAAAATAAAATACAAAGTAGATAGACAACAAATCTTGTCCTCCTATGCAGGGTCCTCAATGCTGTTGACAAACCTTGTTTTTTGTCTCTCTTTTCATGTTTGTGAATTCCCGGCCCAATTTGTCTACATTGCTATTGGTTGAACTAACTGTGCAAAATCCAAGCATCCTTACTACACGAGGCCCCCATAAATCAGTTTAACATTTTAGAAAGGGCTTTAGTTATGGACCTGCGTGCACGACAAATTAAATGCTTCCATCGCTATTATGAAGTGATCTTAAGGTAGCATAATTAATTTTAAGAAAAAGTATATAAAAATATGCCAAATTTAATGGAGAAAATCCATTAATTAGGTGTCTAAATCCTTCCACTTTAAAAGATTTTGAAGACACAATACAGCCCATTTCATTAGTTTTAATGTTTTCACCATTCTTTGCTAAATTAATGATTCCGATGAAGTAAAATAATTTTAAAAATTAAACGACCCGCCTTTTCAATGATCAAATCAAATAAAAAGTTGTGATCGAGAAAAAAGTATATCTTGTTCTAAATCCTCTAATAAAAGATATATTGATAAATGCTTTCAATTAAAAAGCCAAAGCAGCGAGGAAAAACAGAATAATGTCGTGAACCATTTTCTTCCTTTAATTTCCTTCTTTTGGAAATGTCAGGTACTTTGAGATATTTTAGGAAGACGATCCATCCAAGTCCTTCAATGATGTTACTTTACAAAAACCAAATAATACGTGATCATGGAAAAGGCTAGATTTGCTTCATGCTGCAAAATTGTGAACCGAATGCCAATGAAGAAACACATACACGGATGTGTGTGACTTGAGTTTTGCTGGTCCAGAGGTTTCAGAAAGATTGAAGTCCACTCTAATTATGTTGAAGCGATAGACCTCATCACTAGGGATTAGAGTGTTGACCATCCTTTTCATGTTATTATTTATAATGCTTGTAATTTGGTAAATAGGGATTGGGTAGTTTCAAACTTTCAATTAACTTGGTCTATAGGGATGTTATTAGCTAGGAAGACACATGTTTTTGAGAGCACTTTTTACATCTTTGACTATTCTTCATTTTTATTATTTGAACGAAGTGAATGATAACTACTCCCTTCGATTCTATTTATAAGATAAAGAGAAAATAATTTTTTTATTTTTTTTATAAGTTACGTTATTAAATTTTTATTATAAATTTTTTTTATCTTCTATTGAATGTTAAAAAAAAATGTAATTAAAATATGTATATTTAATGCGGGTAAAGTTGAAAATTTATTAAATTTTAGAATAGAGTTAATAAATTTTAAATTTTTTTTTATACTAGTAAAACATGTTGAAAGTGATTTATAAATAGAATTAGATAAATAATTAGGATCTCTCTCACTGTTTCTTTTTAATAAGTTGGAAATATGATTAGGCTCTTTTTTGAAGGTTGTTGTACCTGTCTTCTCATTTTATGAATGCATTTTTGTTTGTTTAGGGAAAAAAATGTTGCATCAATTTGTCAACCAATTTGGTGTCTTCTAAGTTGCTAGGTGAAATTAAATAAGCTTGGAGCGTGGTACTGCGCGGGGAGTTCCCTTTGTGGCCGACACTTAATTGATTAATTAATTTTATTTTTAGAAATATGTTATGGACGAGACACGAATAACCCAACAAAATTTAACCAATTATCTAAAATATTTCAAATTATCTTTTTAATAGAAAAAAAAAAGAACATAATTTTTAATCCTTATAGTTTTATCAGGTTTTATTTTCAGTCTCTATAGTTTTTTTCCTATATTTTCAGTCCTTATAGAGACTAAAACCACTAAAAAAAGAAAATTATAAGGATTTAGAAAATAAATATTACTCAATCTTTCTGAAACTATAAGGATTGAAAACATGAAAAAAAAATAATAGGGATTAAAAACAAAACTTGATAAATCTATATAGACCAAAAATTATGTTTCTTCTAAGAAAAAAAGCTCTTCTGTAATTTTTAATTTCCTTAATGAAAAAAATTCCAAAGAAACGAGTAAATATACTAATAAATCATTAATACACGCACACATATATATAATACACAGAAAACCGTATTTAAAATTATTCATTCCACATATTTCCCTTAATGCAACAAAAAAACATGCAATAAATTTTTTTTTTAAAAAAAGCATTATAGATTTATGAATAATCATCATTTAATTTATATTCTTTTGTTAATTAGAAAAAAGCTTCTTTTTTTTTTCAGTTATGGCCAAAATCAAATCATCTCTCTTTCTTGGTGGTAGTAATATGTCCAAATCAAACCCGTTGCAAGTTGCTTTCAAAGAAAATGATGTGGTTTTTACCAAAATAAAAATATGATAGTGGTTCTTATGAGTTAGGAGTTTTGATAATGTGTGTGTGTTACCAATTTTATAAAAGAAATGAAAATGAAAAAAAAATCCAATAATAAACTTACAAAGAATGAGATTTTTTTTAGTGGAGATTTAATATATATATATATATATATATATTGACCGAGAGGAGTAATTCCATCAATGGTAAATAAAACATGAGTCAAAGCCGTAAGCCAGAAAAAATGGCAAGCATACAAAAAAGATCAACCAAAAATAGTTACAAATTAGCCGATTCCCTCTCAATCAAATACAGAAGATGCTTGCAAGGAAGTATAATGATGCACTATCAGGTCGTTAGTGATGATAGCAGGAGGTGAAGGTGCAAAGACCCAGCCAGAAGGTTCCACCCCCTTTGATGCAGAGGCTACTAAAAAGTCAGCAGCATTGTTTCCTGATCGTCTCACCAAGGAAAGATTCAAATGATGAAAAGACCCAATAGAACGCAATGAATTAGCAAGCAATTCATGATACATCCAGCTGCAGTTATCCCATTTTTGTGAGGATAAGGCATGATGTAGGTCTTGATAGCCTATTTCAACGATGAGTTTTTGGTTAGGGTTGTCAGATAACAAGGGAAATCAAGTATTTCAGCCATGAAACCAAATGAGGCGGTAATTTTTTCACACCAACCTTTAATGAAAGAGCTGTTATGATCTCTCCAAATGATCCCTATGCCAGCAAAACCAAATGAACGAAGAAAAGATCCATCACAGTTGACTTCAACTTCACCAACAGTGGGAGGGGACCATATTGCCGAAACAAGAGTTTGGATTCTCATAACAATTAGCTTTCCAATATTCTCAGGCAGCAACATCCATAGTTGAAACGGCAGTGAAAGAGTTAATTACAGCACCATAGAAAACTGAGACAGACCTCATCTTCCCAATCTTCTAACAAAGATTTGCTGCATAAAATTTCCCATAATCATCCAGATCATCCTGAATCAGCAACTTATGACACCAAAGATCAAAAGGTAAGACTGTTTCAGCATCAACCTAAAAGATAAACAGCAAGCATACCAAGCCTGTCCAGCCCATGCACGCAAAAATAATAGATGTTCAACAGTTTCAGGCTCTTGCAAACAAATTGACCAACCAATAGCACACTTCCCCGTGATAAAGAGCTGATTTAATTAGTTGCAAGGGCATTATTGACAACTCCCCGCAAAAAGTGTTTGATCTTTGGCTGCAGCTTGAGGTGCCAAATATTCTTCCATAAATCATGGGGCTAAAGAAATGGATGAACAAGGCACTAGACTCATTTTGTGGGGGTGAAAGAGATACGGACAGTCGATGCCCAAGCTTAGTAGGGTTTTTGCCATAATGAACGGGAGATTTAATATATCAGGTAGTTAAATCATAATGATTACACTTTGATGTGTCCGTGATAAAAGTTGATTTGAGGATGAAAATTTCAGCAGATTAAAGTACATTATTATGTTTACAAAAAAGAAAAGTACATTATCCTATGAAGACCATTAGGGTTGATGAACGATAATTAATAGGAGCCCAATGTGCCATAACAGGAAGAGTTTCTTTTTGTTTGTAAATGTAATAATCCCTTTTCACTCCATTTACTATATAACTCCTTCATGATTTGATTGCTTTAATCACTCATGATTACTCCCCCAAGAGGAAAAGCTAATAACGTCGCGTCCCAACAAAAGTGCTAATCATTTCCTTCATATATTTTTTTACCTCTAAAACTTAACAAGTACTCTATTTTCCCGACCCAACAATCCTGTCGCTGTTGATTAATTTATCATTTTACCAGCATGGCAATTATTAATGGTATGTCCCTTTATTTAATTTTATTTATTTATTTTTTAAATAACACATTAAACTTTGACTTGTTGCAGTTTAACTTTTTTGGCTTTTAAATTACACACATATTATCTTTGTACATTTTATTGGCAAAATAATATACAGTATAATTATAAAAATTTGTTTACATAAATTAAAAAATAGCTTCCCAAGGCTTAAAAATGTGAATTGTCCGTGATACTTCCTCCATTAAAAAATATAAAATATTTTTAATCGAATTTCACTCTCAATAAAATAGTTACTTACTTTTCAACTAACCCTATCTTTTCATATTTACCATTATTAAACATCTTACAATAAATATAAAGTAATTATTAATATGGACGCTTTTTAAAAAAAAACAATAATTACACCTCAAAAGATTAAAAATGCCTTACATTTTGAACATCTAATTTTTTTAAAAATGTCTTACATTTTTTAACGAAGGGAGTATATATATACTTATTCCTTTTAAAAGGGTTGAATGTTAAAAAATATAAAATATTTTTAATATTTTAAAGTACAATGAATTTGTTTTTCCAAAAATATCTTTTATAAATAAATTATTTTATATTTATGTTTAAGTAAAACATTTTATTAAATGAAAATAAATTTAAAAAGATAGTTTTAATTGAAACACACTTAATTATTTGTCTGAAAGGTATAATTGAATTAAAAATAATTTAATTTTTTAAGAGAGGAAGCATATAATGGTCATTTTCTGGCGGCATCATCCGCAATGGTTGACTTCGTGCACCATAGCGCCCAACCAGCGAGAAACTTCCGCTATGAGGAACAACTACTGATCGAAGTGTTTAATATTTAAATATCATTTGTATTATATTCAATTAATTAATTTCAGTCACATTAATATTATGTCCGGCTTCAATCATTTAACCCAGTGTTTCACTGGAAGTAATCATTATAAATTTAAAGACAAAGATAAAACAAGAAAAACCGGAACTGGACTATTTCCCTTTTCTTTTCTTTTTCTCTTTTTTTTGGGGGGTTTGGCAAGCAACCCTTTGTGCTGATAACTTATTATTTTTTATTTTTTGGGACATAAGATTATATGTTGATCATGTTATACATATATATATATATATATATATAAGTAGAACGGATGGAAAGTTAACACAAATTCACCTTATCTTAAATTATAAAATATTTTTAAATAAAATCTTGCATGCTAAAAAAATCATTCAATACACTTAACAATTTTATTTTTTTTAAAATATAAAATTTAAAAAATATTCTTCATTTAATATATCAAAAAGAGAAATAAATAAAAATTAAATAAAGAAAATATAATATTAAAATAAGTGTATTTAATAAAATTTTAATATCCTCAAAGTATCTTATATTTTAATATGTCAATTCTCTTTTAAAAATATTTTTTAATTTAAAATAGAGAAATATATTTCAATTAATAAAAATTTAGCTTATATATTATAAGATTTTGAGTTTGACTCTTTTCATTTATTGGAAGACATTGTTGATAAATAATTTATGAGTACTTTATTAGTTTTTTTTTTTTTTTGGAACTTGAAGCCGTGCTCTCATAGTAATGAACTCCTAATTTCTAACTTGTGTACATTTTCATCATTGAAAGCATGACAAGTGGAAAGAAGCAAACATTGTTCTACTTGGAGAAGATGAAAACAAGGAATTCCTATACAGTAATAGAAAAATAATATATTTGTACACACACCTTGTAGAATGATATGAGGGGCACACTTTGGATTTACGGTCAATAAAGCTAAAATGCCAAATCATCATGCAATGGAGTCGATTCGCTGCAGCAGATCGAGATGGGACAAAAGAGGAGCATGCTAGCATTGTAGGCGCACACGAGACTGAAATGAAGATAAGCTTGTTCTTTTTAACCCACTAAGATCTCGAGTAATACAAAGGTATCATCATTGCTTAATTACACTTAACATTGCTCTCGATTAATATAATCCATCATGCAACAGTGAGGAGACGCGACGTAAAGCAACCAAGTGGAAAATGTTTGTTAATTTCTTTTCTCCATTTTTAATTAAAAAAAATCACATTTTGGAGTTTGGATTTGGAGCATTAGGGTCTATTTAATTTTATTGGTTTTAACATTCGAAAAGTATTTTTTTTATTTTTAAAAATCAAATGTTATTTAATTTTTAATTTTTTAAAATATTCATTTAAAAAGTTCATTTTAAATATTATTGAATGTGCTTTTGATCAACTTAAAATAATGAAATTTTTTAAAAGTAAATTTAAAAAATGAGATGTTATTTAATCATACTATCTCAAGTTTAATCTCTTATTTTTTTATTAAAGAAATAATTATTTTATTAAAAATATAATTATCATTTCAATATTAATAATTAAATATTAAGTTTCTTACGTTATAAATTAAATAATTAATCATGTTAATTTTTAGTATCAATGTATAATAAAAATTATAAATTTTTATCACATTTTTTAAAGTTACAAATTAAAAAAGTATAAATAATTAGAGATCAAGTTAACATTATAGATCAAATTTTATATTATTTAAAATATTTATCACATTTTTAAAACATTTTAAATATATTATATTTATATAATAAAAATTATAAATCATTATAAATTAATTTTTTAATAATTATATATTTAAAAGTATATTTTACTATCATAATTTTTAAATAATTTTTATCGTATCAAACTAAATTTTAAAAAAATATATTTAAATATAAATTTTATTATAATATTTAATTTTTATTAAATAAATTATTGTTGAATTAAAAACCAACCACATACTTTGCCTATCAAAGGGCATAGGGTACGGCTCTCCTGTCCTCCTATATATCCCCCACCAGTCCTATCTGTTGACTAAGATTTCCACCACAACCAGATCCACGTTGCAATTGAGTAAAATTGATTAAAAAAAATTATTATCAAATGAAGTTTAATACAATTCATAAATTCTCTCGCAATGGAATTTGAAATGCTAAATGAAGTTTATGGTGAAATAGAGTGTTTGGGTGTTTTTTTTTTTATTTCAAGTGACATAATTAATTACGGAGAGGCATCCAAACACATCCCATGACAACCTGGGATAATCCTTATATTAGAGTTAATGACCTAGATTTGATCATGTTTAAAGGTATAGATTAATTTTTATTATTGAAATCTAAACAACTTAAAATTGTAGTGGTAGTGAATAGAAATTATAGAGGAGACAAATCAAGTCTGGCCCATGTCAAATTTACATTGTTCCTTTTTTCCTCACTTACTCTCCAATCTTTAGAGCTGGAAATATGGATGAGTTGGCCCACAATTACTTGCAAACTTGACAGGGTAAATTGATATAACTTGTATGTTGTACATGTTACATTTCTATCAACCCTCTAACTCGAACTAACTCAATAAAAAAATATTTTTTGTATGCATTTTCTTTTATTTGCAAAACTACAAATTCACCGTAATATTAGCATTAATATTATTAATTATTAAAATTATACAATTAAACATGAAAATATAATGGCTATCTCTCGATTTCAATGATCAGTGTTAAGGTAAGCTTCTGATTCTAATAGTAAATCACTACTATCATGTGAATTTACTAACATACTCTTCTCCTTAGACAAAACTCCCATCAATAATTATGCTATGCACATAACGACACTTATTATGCATGTTAACACAAAATAATAATATCAAATCATATTCATAATTTTCCTTATCCACTGTACTCCATTACCAATTATCACATGTTCATGAGTTTCACAATTACATGTTTTCATTCACTTTTAATCACACATTGTGTGTAACATTCTCAACAATCCAATGCAACTGTACATACATAACTCATCATGTTGTCACAATTTACATCGATAGTTTTTAAACATCAACAAGTTCTAAATCATTGAATTTAATAAATAATTAATTAATAAACTACTATACAAATTAATTTTTTTACCAGTTACCTTAGACCTTTTAGAGACCAAAAGTTTACCTCTTTTAATCTCCTTCCTTAATCATAAATGATTAACTCAAATTATCACCTGGTTCAAGGTTGACTTTGGGCAATCATCGAGTTCAACAAATTTACAAATAAGTAATGAAGATGAGATTTTAAGTTTTCAATAATTTAACGCACCTCAAAAGGCCTACAAATGAATAGTCAGAGTTTCATTAACTATATGAAAGCATGAGATCATTAAAGAAATCATTACATTTTCTTAGAATCATAAAATAGGGGAATTCTACAAAATTAGAGGCATGTATTATGGCTCATTGAACTTGTGCAGTCGTTTGTGAGCCTTTGTGCCTTGCGCCGCAACGCATTACACACCTCATGACAACAGAATTCTGCTATTAGTTTGATGACAACCGAGGCAACTTTTGACGCACCTCAATTTTTCATCCAACATCTAACTGACGTGATTTAGGCGTC